CACTGTGAAGGTGAAGCTAGAAAATGGCCACTTGCTTTTCTCAAGGCTTTAAAAGGATTACAGATCCATGAACTGAATGGTTCCTGTTACAGATAATTCAATATGGGATTGCTATTTGGCAAGTGGGGGATGCATTTTTGCTGAAGTCCAATGCAAAAAAGACTTTCAAATTCCATTCAGATTACCATTATGGAGAGTGGTGCTAGCAGGGGTGCTATGTACAAATGACCAAGCTACAGATTTAATAGTTAGTGATCCAAGCCTTTCAGAACTTGGAAAATTTAGCCTGGATTAAAAAGATGCAGGTTCTAGGCAGCACACTCAGGCACTTTATAAGGAAACCTTGCATATATGAGAATCAAGCTATTTCTCTTTACAAAACATGCTGCTTTGTACAGATGTTAACTTGCTTTAATGATCTTTTGCTTTTTCCTCTACCTGCAGTTGTGCAAAAACAGCAATTTTGTTTGTCCTTTACTGTGGCATTGCAATTTTAGTACGGTGGTTTTGGCAGGAAGTGTCAGTGATGCTTATGTAGTTGCACAGCTGTATGAGTTATTAACATCCACTGGGCAGAAATTTTTATTCCATGTTGTCACAGAGATCTCAGAATTTGCCTGCAAACTCTGACTTGTCTTCTAAGACACAGGTTTCTAACATGGGATTCCAAAATTCTGCTTGTAGTTAAACCACAAAACCATTTAGCCTGAGAGTTTGTGGATGGTAGAAGGAAGAGTGGAGGAAAGGCCACCACTGGTGGCAGAAGCAGCCCTCCCTGCCAGATGGTGCCAGCTTGACAGTAATATTGCACAAAACCGCTGTTGCTTCTGTAACCTTAGCCACATGTGTGAGCGCAGCATGGGGAAGCAAGGCTCTGGAAGAGCTGCATGATCCTTTAAAGCAGTTTTTTCCCTGAGTCACGGTATGGAGAAATGCAGAAATAGCGTTCTGTTTATCTGAGATATCTGGCCATCTGAGATGCCCCAGAAACAGCATCTCATTTGAAATAGCGTTTCACCAGCCACACAGCTGATACTAGGTGAGCTGGCCCACCTAGGAGCCCTGCGAGGCAATGAGAAGGGGCGTTACTTGCCAGAGTGCAATTTTGCACCACTGTATGATATCTGCTTTCTGATTATTAGCCTGCTTGTGAATAAACTGTTATATCATACTCCTGTTGCATCATACCCTACAGGGAACTAACTCTGTTTAGAACTGGATCATCAAGTTGTCCCCTCTCTTGAGGATACATTGGTGGGATAAGGAAAAACCTCGTTTCTGCTTGAAGTATTTCTTTCTCTCTATAAAAAAGAGCTGTAGCTGGGATTCTGGAATGCCACCTTTTCCAGAGCTCAAAATCAGTGAAATGTCTGATACTTGTGCCACATTCCTGCATCTGTTCCTGGCTATTGTGTTTTTTTTTTTTTTTTTTTTTTCCTCCTGTGAAGAGAGTTCAAATTACAGTAATCCTTCATTCAGTTCTCTTGGTTTTATGGCAGTACAATTTTGTTCTGTTAGTGTCTCAGTATTGTTTTTATATGTACTGCAGAGACAAATGCTCCATCTATAATTCTGATAATGCCTTGGAGCCTCTGTTCTTCACTGTTAAAATGAAAATATATTAGTTTACTCGTAGACACCATGGCTGGAAGAAACCAAGAGATATTTGTTTCGCTGCATGCATTTGTCAATCTTACTGCACCAAAAGCTTATATTTAAAGCAAACCCTCAGAAAGAAATGAATTTAATTCTTCTTCATTTCTCCAGCAGTTTGTTGCACTGATTTCCTCTGGCCTCCTTAGAGTCCTGACAGACCGAATGCCTGGTTTCAGTTCTTGTTACTCATTTCTGCTGCACCATTCCTCTTCAGATTAGATGCCCTATACTTACTTTTCCCATGGAGAGACTTCTACAAAAATAAAGTTGATCTTCAACAGTTAGCACTGCTAAAGCAAGCACAATAAGCCCTGAAAGTCTCTCCGTTCAAGGCCTTGAACAGATTTCTTTACAACAAGTAAAATTTCGCAAGAGGACTTTGTCTGGAAGTTAACTCAAACAGATAAGGTTACACATATTGGCTCTCTGTGTAGTAGCCAGCACACTATGGTTTGTCAGGAAAGCCAGGTAATTCTTTTTTAGACCGGGTCTTTGGAAGATGGTTAGAGATTGGGAAGAGCCAGAGCAATGTTACTCAAGTGTGTGTCAGTGCTGTTTAAAGGCAAGTGTTGGACCACAGTGATGAACCACCTGTTGGACCACAGGACCTCCTTAGGCTTCAAGCCTGCATTTTATGTTTATCTCCTCTCAAATTGCTCTTCAGAGCTCTGATGCTAGGAAGACACATGTTTTTGATTCTCACCATTCCCGTATTTATCCTTTGGTTTAATGAATAATCTCTAAAATGCCGGTGGAGGAAAACAATAGTGGACTAAATCACATTGATCAAATAAAGTTAGGGTGCACTCTTTGAGCCTTCCAAAAAAGAAAAACCTTCAACTTGGGATGGCTGAAAAAAATACACTATGTTCATGGAAATCAAAGGGCTCCATAAGTAGATTTAATAAGCTTTATGATTATTTGAATATTGCAACCCTTTCTTGAAAAAAGAATGAACAAAAATGGAGGAAGCAAACCACAGCATTTCCCTTTCTAGCTTTGTTGACACTGAGGAAAAGGTGTGGGTATCCCTAAAGGATAATCTTGCTTCCTGTGCATGCAACAAGCAGGGCAAAACATGAGGCTGTCATCAACTTTTGAACTCTGCATTTACAAAATCGTTGTGTAATAATTCGATGGTTCCTAGCAGCTTCTGCTTTTGTAGCAGTCTAAGTGGAAAAGACATTTATCTATGAAGCCTAGACCTATATAGATAACCTCACTGATTTTAAAGTCATGCCTCATGGGCACTGCATGACTGTATACCGCAGCATCCTACAACCTTGTGGTGCAGGGAGACCATACTCACCTTGTGCTACTGCTTTGAAGATGATTCAGCCACGGGCTTCTGCACCCCAAAGGCAGTGATAAAAATATTCACAACTACTATAATGAATACTAGTCCAGTTGCAAGGTTGTTGAGGAAATCCAGCTTCCCGTGTTTTGCGGGGTTGTTAAGGTCATATTTTACTTCAAAGAAAAAGGAGAGAAAAAAAAGATGTAATTATATGTGCATTTCAAAATCCAGGAAAAAAAAATCATGTAATTCAACCATTTCTCTCATCTTAAGTTATTTGTCTCAGTCATACTTAAAAGGGAAGTTAGATGCTACAGTGTCAGCAAATGTGCTAAGGAAAAAACCTTCAGTTGCAAGAAGCCTAATAACATCTGTATTTGCTGTCTGGATGTGCGTGGGAAGTGGTGGATACATGAACATTACTAGGAATCTTCAGTGCTCTTGATCTCTTGAAACCCAGGATTGTTGGTTAGGTTTTAAGCATTTTTAAAAAATAAGTCTTGAATGTATGAAGTTTGAAGCCTTGAGAGGATGGAGTAAGTTTAATTTATTACAGTTAAAATGCTTCAGGTTCTAGCCAGATAGTCCTCTCTGGGTTTCTCTATGGGTGCCCTTCCCAAGCTATGGTCCCTGCTTGGTACTGCTTTTGTAGTGATTCTGTTTTTAGAAAGCAAGGGCATTACATGTGTTTAATATGAGATTTCAAAGCAGTGCAGCTGCAGTCATTCTTACAGAAACACAAGCTCTGTCAACTTTTTCTTTTGTTTCTTACAGTTCTTAAGCTGGACTGCTAATGGGAGGGAGGAACACCCAAGGGAGATATTATTAATTTAGTTCAAGCTTTGATTCCAGACCTTATGATAACATACAAATGAGTTACATTAGGCTCACATTAGACTTGATGATAGACTAAAACATGTACAGGACAGTAAGAGGCCTGGAAGTGCTTGCTGTTTTCTCTTGCAGTAAAGGCTTTATAACTTAGTCTGTACTACACCCACTACAAGCTGTGGGAACAAGTGCCAGTGAGTTCTGGAACATGTCCTGATAACACAGACCACTTCCAGTGTCTTCAAGACAGTTCTTAAATGTACAGGCCCCTGGAGCTTGTGTGCATGCACAAGATATGTGGAAGAAAGCTTATACTAGAGAAGTTTTTGTAGCAGCATGAGTAAAAATTTGAGCTTTGGATATGGAACATATAGACAAGCAGCTTACATCTCTGCTGCGTGAGATACTGTTACTTATTTGTAATATGATGGCTTTGTCAACACTGCAGAACTGGCACAGAACTGTGACTTGCTCTTTGAATTGGTTAAGCAGAGTGGTGGCAGATATACTCATGATGCTGAAGCAGTAAAAACCAGGCTTGTTTGGTGTCCCTGATTCTGGGCAGCTGGTCCATGTCTGGCTTGCTGAAGCAGGGTATTGAGGTGTCACAGGGCAGCCAAAGCACTCAGGAATAGTGTCGGGACTACTGCACTGTGTAAGCTGCTCAACAGCTGTGCTGGCATGAAATAAATTAGGCTCAGCAGTGCTTAACCCTGAAAATGAGTTTATGCATGTCTGTAAAACACTTGGTGCTATGTGCAAGTTGGCATTCTAATGGCACCAAGAAGGACTTCTGCATGAGAAAAGCAGAATTCCTTACATATATAAGACAAACTTTTCACACTGTTGGTTTGCTATAATCAAGAAAAAAGGCAAAGCGGACCAATGTGTTCTGTGTATTAAACAAAATTATATTTGAAGGAGAACTGGCACTTTCAGAGCTGTCCCTCCATTCAAGTAAGGGTTACAAGAGACCTATTTGTCAATTTAGGGAGCCTTGTAAATTTTCAGTAATCCCGATTATAGTAATAGAGGTAGTCTTTTCTGGCTGGACAGAAAGGCAAAATGTTCATGCAGGTAAAACTTAGCAAACCTATGCTGTAAAAAACAAGTTATTGCTATGATGTCTTTATCTTCATAGCTTCATATCCTTTAGCACTTTTGAGCTCAACAACAGAACGTTTCAGATGGCTGATCACTCCAGCAGCACCCCTGCAAACTTTGTCATCCTCAGTACCTCAAACACACAACTGATGACTGCAGAGTGCAGGCTCAACTCTTGATGAATCCCACTATTTGCTAAATGATCTGTGAATTTCATCTTGGATATACTTAGTTGTTGGGCTGTGGGCTACTCTTGTCACTCTCGGTGTGAATAGAATAGGCTTGTATAGGGAGGTGGAAGCCACTTGGGCAATGTCTGGTAGAAACAAGCATTAAAAAGTAGTTGTCAGCATGTACTGAGAAATTATTACCCAACAACAGCTAGAAACCCAAGCAGGCCTTTAGGCTGTAAACAACAGAACCAACCAACAGGGAGACGCCTTCAGCTGAGCAGGGGGCCAGGAGATTTTCATATTTCCAGTGCTCTCTCCCCACACCTTCTATTATCATAGAATTGCTTTCTATTATCTTTCTCTGGAATCTCTTCTGACCCTGAAATTAGATTTTGCTCTTGTGCCAGCTCTAGCAAATGCAGGCACAGCTGCATTCTCTTTCGTAAGAAAGGAAAAGTTGGATGGCAGATGCATAGCAGTATTACAAACCGTATGTATCCTTGCTTCGTGGGAGCTTCCTCCTTGAACAGAAAGTTGTTTTTCAGTTTTGCAATAAAAGGCAACATTTACAGAGTAACAAAGATGCCAGAGGTGGCACCTATAACTCGGTATGTGCCATATGTGAACTCTGGCTATCCCCTTCCAGAGTTTGCTTTTTCATTTAATGGGAAGGATTTGTGGGGGGAAGTTATAGGAATAGATGATTGTATATGAGTAAAAAAAAATAACTTCTCCATAGATGTTTCCAATCAGTGAAAGCCTCACATTTATTTCTGAGAATAATGGAGTGTGTTTGATGCTGAAAACCTAAGCATCTTTTCTGGTTTCACAGAGTTTATCTCTGATAACCTCTTCAGAGTTATAGTACAGATTTTTGGGTGCTTCAAATAAATACCATAGATTTCTAGCAACTTTGCAAAAGCACTAAGGCTTTCCAATCTCTAAATCTTGTGTAGGAGAAAGAGCAGTGGGGGAGAGGGGTGGTTCTGGGCAAATAAAGATAAAGTAAAATATCAAAGACCCAAACAGAAAAGTTGAATTTCCAGAGGGGTGCTGTATCTCCACTTTCCCCAGAGTTTTGGTTTGGCCTTTTCTTTGGTTATTCAAACTCACTTAGTCATGCTATTTTTATAGAAATGAGCCTGGTTCTGTAGTTACTTAAATCAATATTCTGCCTAAGAACTAATGAACATTTTAGCTGGTGGTAGGACATAAGTCTGCTACTAATTTAGCATCATCAATTAAAAACATTTTTTATTAATAAATGTTGTTTATGCCTTACAGCACCTATTAACACTGAATAGTGAAATCTCCATTTTGAGAACAATTAAAAAAGAGTGCATTACATTTATCAAAAAAGGGGAGCCCTCTAACACATAAGACAAATGGGAAGGAAAGATGGGGTGCAGAGAACTGATGCTACATCTGTCTTATTATAAAATGTGCCCAAAGCATGCACCAGCAGAGCCCTAAAAGAATTCTTTCTCTTGAAAACAGTTGTGACATTGTAAAGGTATTACTTTTTAATTTATTTGCTCCTGATAGAAGGTAGAAACACTTTCCCTTGTAAAAAGTTGCTATATTGTCTGTGCTCGAATAGATTAAGGAAACTAAAAAGCATTACTGTAATAGGAGTCTTACTAGAATTTGAGACAATCTATTTGCAGGCCCAGGAAGCTAACTGGGCTGTATTTTGACATTGCGTATTATTTCATTTTTGTTTCTGTGGAACAATAGCACTGTATGTGAATAATATTGGTATGTTTTTAGTGAAATCTTGCTCCAGTTGCTCTGTTTTTTCAGGTGGGCATACAAACCTGCTCTCATCTATCAGCTACATAATAGCTTGTCACCTTTAACACATCAGTCTCCTTAAAACTGCTTTCCTTTTAGATTTAGATTTGAAAAACTTCTATAACAAGTACGATTCCATCATTCCTCACCTGGATAGTTATGCTGCTTTGAATGTTTTCCTAATTTTAAAATAGTGTGTCTCAATTACTGTCAAGCCTGTGTTATCACATCTTTGACTTGACTGCAGAAATACCAACTTGTGCAGTGCCAATGTAATGTTTCAACTTTCATTTCCGTTCTAAGTGGATTTCTAGGTTCATAATATACTCTTGCAATATTACTTACATTATTACTGACATGCAGCAAATAAATTTCTACCATAGGATTAAGTAATAAGTCTAGCTGAAAATGGTGTTATGTAACTGGGCAGGCCACATGATCATGTTGTACTGTTAATATTTCTTTTACTGTATTTCAGCATGTTCCTTCCTCCTTCAGGCCATATGAAAAATATCCATGTTCTTGAAAAATGAATATGAGGAAGTTAACTAAAACTGAAGACTTCACATAAATCTGTCCTTACTCCTTTTATTGTAATATTTCTATGATCTTCAGAGAAAACTTTGAGACACACTTTCCAATATAAAAGCTTTTTAAAAACAAATACCTGAGGGAACCTATAAACCCAAGTTCCACCCTGTAAGAAAAATAAATGCCAGTGCTTCTGGCTGTTGCTACATACCCAGGAATATGAGGAGCACTCCGACTAGAACTTGCAGCGTGAGCGATACGCTGATAAGAACGATGAGCGGCACGTAGAAAGAAAAGGAAGGTCCTTGCTCCATCACGGCCTTCAGCTGGGATGCGTTGGCCATGAGCAGGGCGATGTCCAACATGCTCTCAGCAGCGCTCTTCTTATTTGCATAGTGGTTGATATTCATCGGTCCATTTCTTTGAAACCACTGTGATCTTCTGCTCTAAAATTGGGAAGGGAAGGACAAAAAGGTTATAGAAATAACCATATTAATTGGTGTAGTGACCCAGGGAAGAGTTTTAGCCCAACAACTGATTTCTGTAATGACACCAATAGCCTCGGGACTGCTGTTGCTCTCTATATGGATCTTTCTTGTTGATACTGAAGCCCTCCATCTGAGAATGGATCAGTAGACAGTGTCTGTACCAGGCTTTGGCAGATACACTTTTTCCAGCTTATAAATTCATGCCAAGCAGTCGGTATGCATCCACCTTGAGAGAAGGAATGCTTGGAAAAGCTGAAAAGTTTGCCCTAGGAACAGCTAGTAGGGAGAAAAAAGACTGTAAAACAATCAGAGCACTGTAAATACTTTAGTCCCAAAGGCATAATTAAACATATATATGTTTAATACCCTATTAAATTCACACTGTGCAAACATCAATACAAATCTACATGGATACTTAATTACTCACTCTCAGAATTCAGCTATTCCATGAGCTTTGATAGAGCTTTTCTTCTTGTTTCTCACTCTGCCCTGCTACAGTCCAGTTTCGTGCAGAGGGAAGTGTTTTTCTGATTAACTAATGTATCATCTGCTAACCAACTTGGTTAACTAAGGTACAACCAAGCCCTGCCCAAGGAGGGGGAACTCCTCATCCATTTTCCCAAGAGTGGATTTTTTGGGTGAGGATTCTCCAATAAGTAAGTAGGGGGCAAACACAACTGAAACTAAGTAGCTGAGGAAGTACCTCTGGTCCAACTGCAAACTCTAGGGCACAAGCAGAGGTACCTCAGTATTCCTAACCTGAAGGCTGAATGAAATGAGTGCTTCCTGATGACGATTCCCATGGCCTGTGCTGTACTGGGACCCTTTGCCTCCTGTGGTTGCTATTTCCAGGCTGGTTCCATGTAGCCAAGGGTGCTTGGGCTGGATTGAGCTGCATTTACATGATGAGAGATTAGGCAGGCTTCCCTCCTTCCTAGCCTCTGGACAGGTTGGGAGCTTCACTTGCACTCTCCCTGCTTCCTGTCTTCAAATCTACCTCATACAACAAAGTAAACTCGTCCTAGCTGACTTAAAACCGACTTTTTTTCTGTATAAATAATGTCTTTGTACTTGCTAGAAGATACACTGAGGAAAGTCTTCTTTTAAAGGTTAAATGAAATGCAGAAAACTCTCTCTAATTACTCTCTTCAGTGGCACTAATAACTATGGAATTTCCAACTGCAAAGCCAGGTTTGCTGCTGTCCAGACTTACAAGTGTCCTTTTAAATAGGGCAGGCACTGATGCATGCGGCAAATGCATTCACAGCCCTTTCCCAGGCAACTACCCAACTTGACCTATTTTCACCAGCCACAATCTTAGTATTTTCCCGAGAGAAAAATGTCAAGGGGCAGCAGCTCTTTTTTTTTTTTTTTTTTTTCTGCAGAAAATGAAGCCCTGTAATCCTGCCTTGTGCAGGAGCTCTGTTTGCTTGGGCTCAGCCCATGGCAAGTGACTAGATGCGGAACAAACCCTGATGTCACATGGAACAGTCAGGTATTCGCTTGACTGTGGCTCTATCCCGTGCCTGAAAAAACACTTTTGAGGCTTGGGAATCAATCCTGGCCTCCACCCTTCATCCTCCTCGCATTAAACAACTGCAGCCCTTGGATGCCTTAAAGCCATGTTCGTTTTCTTATTTAAAAGACCCTAAAATATATGCTGGTAGTGCTTAGTAGAAAGACACAAACAAACCTTTTTCTCTCATTTATAGTCAGAAAGCTTATGGTTACATGGTGTAAAAGGGGAAAAATTAGATGTGTGTAATAGAACTTTATTATTTTTGAGGATTGAT